CCTGTGAGGTTTTCAAACTCTAGAATTGAAAACCTCAAAGGTTCTGGTCCGGCAAGAGTCCAGAGCTCAAACTTCTTCTTGATGTCCAGCTGGAAGGAGAGCATAAAATGTACAAGCCTTGAAGTCCAAACAAAGCCAAGCTCCTTGAACTTGATGAATATTCCCAACTTTGACGCTTTCAGATCCTCATATTCATCAGTTCTGAGATTTTCAGATAGAGCTTCAAACAACTTCTTGTCATCAGAATGATACGAAATGCTCCTCAGTGCAGGGGGCTCTTCTCCTAATGTAAACAACCTCGGCGGCAGTTCTGATATATCCATTTTAAGGCCTGCAAACAATCACAAACAACCATCTCAACCACAAAAGGTAGCGCACTATTCTAAATACTATAGAAGACTAGCAGACGACTTCCAGGAAGTGAGAAGACTACTCAGACGACTTCCTGGAAGTCTTCTACAGAGTCTTACTCTCTGGACGACTTACATGTAAGTCGTCCAGAGAGTAAGACTTCGTAGAAGGCTTCCAGGAAGTGAGAAGACTACTATGACGACTTACAGTCGGAGAAGATTTAGTCGGAGAAGATGTGGTCCCCAGCGGTTACAGATCTGCATATCGAAGGGAAAAGAAGAGTCAAGACTACAATTTTTAGGGTTTTCCGGCGGCTAAACGCCTTAAAACATAAGATATAACATACCGGCGGCGGAGGAAAGGGCTACGAGATTTCAGATCTGAAAAAAAGGAAGCGGATGGTCAGTTTAAACTACGAAAATACTCTAAGCCATGAAAGAAAAACAAGATTCGTCGAAATCGGAGAGATTACCGGCGAAAACGGAGAGATTACCGGCGAAAACGGAGAGATTCGTCGAAATCGGAGAGATTCGTCGAAATCGCCTTTACAATCGTCCTTGAAGAGAAACGGCGCTAGGGTTTCGGAAAATTGTGAAAAAGTGAAAAAAATAACTTTTATATGTCCGGTAAAAATCCGGTTAGGTTAAAACGTAAAATGTTAAAATTAACGGTTCGGTAAAATTAGACGACTGAAATTTCAGTCGTCTGGGAAATAATTTAAAGCAGACGACTGAAATTTCAGTCATCTGGGAAATAATTTAAAGCAGACGACTGAAATTTCAGTCGTCTGGAAAATAATTTAAAGCTTAGTCGTCTGGGAAATAATTTAAAGCAGACGACTGAAATTTCAGTCGTCTAGGAAATAATTTAAAGCAGACGACTGAAATTTCAGTCGTCTAATCCCTAAACATAACCCCTAAACTTTATTCTCTAATTAAACACTTCGAAACATCAATTTAAACTTGAAAAATGTTTACTATACACAGAAATAAATACATAGAGGTCAAATTAATTTTTTCAAAAAAACATTTCAGCTTTTCAAAATCTAACCCTAAGATTACATACAATACTACAACATATGTTTGCCAAACCCTTAAACCAAAGAATATCATGATTCACTACTGCCACTCATCTATGCTGAAAACAAATCAACTTTATCATTTCTTAATTTATATCACTTATAAATGTTTATAATTACATGTTTTTAATTTTTCACTCATCAAAATATTTTGTACAGAATTTATAAATTATTTTTAAGATTCAATCGTCCAGACAACTAACATTTCAGTCGTCCAGACGACTGAAAAGTAACTCAGCCCGACCNTATTTTGTACAGAATTTATAAATTATTTTTAAGATTCAATCGTCCAGACAACTAACATTTCAGTCGTCCAGACGACTGAAAAGTAACTCAGCCCGACCCAGACAACTTACTGGGGTTATATTCGTAAAAATGTCTTCTGTTTTTTTGTTTGGTCACAGAGCACTATACTGTAATTTCATAGCCCTTTTAGGTTAGATTTGCATTTGATTCAAGTTGGGGTCTAATATTGGGGTTAAAATCAAGTTATGGGTTAGTTTTGGCAAAAACCCCTAACTTTAAACCCAAAATCCTAAACTATAAATCCTAAACTCTAAACTCTAAATCCTAAACCGTAATCCCTAAACTCTAAACCTTATCTCTTAACTCTAAATCCTAATGTCTAAATTAATTAATCGTAGGAATCTAAGTGTATATTTACTTATTTTGATTAAACATTTAACTTTGTTGTAATCATTTTGATTTTTAAAGTCTATTTTTGTAACAAAAATTTTGTAGGCCTATCTTAAAAAATTTATCTAATATTTACTCGTCTCACAATTGTTTAACATATTTACTATTTCATAATATGTAAATTAAAATATATAATAATATGTGAAAATAATTTGAGTGTATATATTTATATATTCGCAATGCGCATATCTTAATAATTTTCTCTTTAATTTATTGTGCTTTTCTACTGTAATCCGGTTTTCCAATTTAAGAGTAGGTAATTTGACTTTTGTGATTTTTGTTTTTTTTTTTTTGGCTTTTGTATTCGAGTAACGTATCTTGGTTTGTTTAATTAGTAAAGAGAAACCAAATTTGGTTTTTTTTTTTTTTTTTGCGCAACACCAAATTTGACTTTTAACACGAGAAAGAAGAGAATCTATTTCTAAACTTGTACGGCATGTGTAGATGTGACTTTTATAAATTTATTGGAAATTAAAAAAGAATGGCGTAAGCCAAAAAGACGTCTAAAAATTAGGGGTAAACAGAATCACAAATTGAGATCTGAAGAGAGAATCTTATCGTAGACAAGAGAAGGAATAAGAGAAGAGAAGAGAAGAGAAATTTGGAAAATGGGAGCTGCGAAGAATAATATCTGGGCAATATTGGAAGCTGAAGAAGATGAAGATAGGGGCAACGACGCCTCCTCCCAGATCCCATATTCTTCCTTTGTCGTCGACACATCTTTGCCTCTCCCCCTCATGATTCCTCGCATCATGTTCGTTTCCTTCGTTCAATTTTTCAATTCTTTCCTTGGATTGACTCGAATGTTTTTCTTTTCTTCCATTAAATTGCTTTAGTTTCCACTTTCCTTTGATTGTATGTTATGGAGAGACGTGCTTTTAATGAAACAGTGAAAAGTTTCTTTATGTTGATAAATACTAAAAAATATATCAAACAAAAACTGATTTTGACTCCATATTCTTGTGATTCTTGGATATGTCTACTTGACAGAGAGTTATGCAAAGATCTGTTCAAGAATTGGGGAGATCTTGATGATTCACTCTTCTCTGTAGAGAGAGTGTCTGGAGGCATCACAAACCTATGTGAGTTTTCATTATACGTTTTCCATCCCCAAGTAAATCATCGAGAAATTTCTCAAGAGTTTTCATTATATTTATGTCATCTTTCTTGATGGTAGTGCTGAAGGTTTCTGTGAAAGAAGACACTGACAAAGAAGTCTCAATAACAGTGCGGTTGTATGGGCCTAACACAGAGTATGTTATTAATCGTGAGAGAGAGCTACAGGTAATTTATTTCTTTACTCTCACTTATTTCCCTTACACCTTTCTCTGCTAGCGATCCCTATTATTCTTTGTATCACTTGAAGATCTATCTATCTATCTCGTGTCTTGTTTTTTTTTTTTTTTTTTTTGCTTCAGTAGGCTATCAAATATCTTTCTGCCGCCGGGTTTGGTGCCAAATTGCTTGGTGGATTTGGAAATGGCATGGTGCAATCATTTATTAATGCAAGAACCTTAGAGCCATCAGGTTGGTGGGATTTGAAATTCATGTTGCGTATCATAGAGTGTCTCCTAAATAATATTAGTCAAATTGGTGCTCAGTAATATTCAGTTTAATCAACTTTATTTGAATCTCATTTTGCTTTTCCTGTGGCCAGACATGAGGCAGCCAAAGATTGCTGCTGAAATTGCCAAAGAGCTTGGAAAGTTTCATAAAGTGAACATACCAGGTCCCAAGGAACCTCAGCTGTGGGTTGATATTTTGAAGTTCTTTGAAAAAGGTTTTTTTTGTCTCTTTTGTCTCTTTTTACTATTGCTCTAGTTGTTTTTTCGGGAATAGAATGTTGGCTTTATATTATATTAACCAATCATCCCGGTACAAACCTCATGTCTGTACCTTTACTTGTAGCCTCTACTCTTACGTTTGAGGAACCTGATAGGCAGAAGCTCTTTGAGACAATTTCATTTGAAGAACTGTATAAAGAAATTATTGAGCTAAGGGTATTACCTTCTCTCATTGAAGCTTTTCTTATGTCTGCCATGCGTATGTGTTCTTAATTTGCGGTGACTTCTGACAGTCTTTCCCTGTTTAGTCTGATATTGTTTGCTGATTCATATATGATTGAACAGGAATTCACTGGCTTACTTAACGCACCTGTGGTGTTTGCTCATAATGATTTGCTATCTGGAAACCTGATGCTAAATGAGGAAGAAGGTGGAAAATTTCTTTTCACTGCATTTATTTCTAGGATGAAAAGTATAAGAATAGAAAGACTGACTTAGCATTAAAAATAAATAGTGCCAGCGCAGAGATACAATTTAGTTTAATGATTGATCTTAATGGTGAATGGTGGTGCCTGGTGGTGGTATACAATATAACGAACTTCAAGTGATGTATAGCAATGATTTTTTTTTTGGTTTGCCGAAGTTAGCTTCTTCTGTATCTTACGTTGGGATTATACTTAGTCTCTAACTATATTCTCTACATCTATGGACAGAGAGACTGTACTTGATTGATTTCGAGTATGGATCGTACAACTACAGAGGCTTCGACATTGGAAATCACTTCAATGAATATGCAGGATACGACTGTGATTACAGCTTGTTTGTCCAACTTCATTTCGACTTGTTTTCTATTGTTTCTAATAATTTCCTCTTAAAAGCTTGGAACATAACTTCTTTATCGTGGTTGCTTTGTAGCTACCCAAGTAAAGAAGAACAGTATCATTTCATCAAGCATTACTTACAGCCAGATAAACCGGACGAGGTAAGAACATATAGGTTTTTTCTGTACATTCGCTTTTCTTTTTTGCCTTTGTTGTTACCAAATAGTCGATGTTTTTTTTATTGTAAATGCAAACAAAAATGTAAACTTTTTCTATTAAATAACCATGGCTTAGATATGGATATGGGGCTTGTGCCTTCTCTTTGTTGCATATTGCCAAAGCTAAAATTATCCATATACTGCTTTGTGTAAACAGGTCAGCGTTGGTGAAGTGGAGTCAGTCTTCATAGAGACAGACGCGTATAAATTAGCGTCTCATTTGTACTGGGCAGTATGGGCAATCATACAGGTGCATTTATAAAATCATATAGTATATCGCTTAACGTTTGCCTAACAATACCATATTATTTTCAGCTGGTTTAACGTGTACAAATTTGTTTGAACAGGCAAGGATGTCTCCAATTGAGTTTGATTATTTGGGTTACTTTTTTTTACGGTACAATGAATACAAGAAGCAGAAGCCTCTTACTTTTTCGCTTGTTGCATCATACCTGTCTGCGTCTGTGTAGCTTTTGCTTGGCCAAAATGGAAATTTGATTGTTATCGGTTTTGTCGTGCTGTCATCATCAATTCTTGTAAAAGTTGTTTCGTGTTGCTTTGTATGAATGAACTTAAGCTAAATTTGTTCTATAGAAATGCTCTCTTTAAATCTCAAAAGGCTGAATAAGTAATCGAGTGACTCTGAACTTCCTTCCCTACAAGATCGACAACCTCAATTAAGCGGTTAACTTGATTTTGTAAAAAGATCAGGGCCGTGCTCATGAACAAGCATAACGCATTGAAAAACATAACGCGATGAAGCAAGTAGTGGCAAAAGCAGCAGAAACTAAGCACAGTTTATGCTGTTGTTTCTGCTGCTGACAAAGATGAGCAACCTAGATTAGCCGCTCCAAAGGCAGCAGAAATTTCGTACAGTTTATTCATAAAGGCCATTGATTGTGAAGATTCTGTCGATCGATGCTCAGCATTCTGTATCCATCGGTATTAGTAGAAACTACCAAAAGACATAGCACTTTTACATGAAAAATTCTTTCTTAGAATCTATCTCTCTTCACCTCTTGCAAAACTCATCATCAATCAAAACACTGACGTTTCTTCTTTTTCTTTAATTATGACCTCATGCATTCTAATGGTATCACTTGTCTGGACTAATTGATTCTCTAACTTTTTCACATGGATGTTGAGGTTCTCAAATTTAGTGTTCAAATTGATGTATAGAGCGTCTATCTTTTTATTGAAATCTACAGTCATCTTCTGCTGTCTCTCAAGTACTCTGTCATCCATGGCTTCTATCTTGGTCCCTTGAATCTCAGGAGGCGGTTTCTTGTAGTAAGAAAATCAATAGATCCTGTTGTTGTTGCTGTAGGGCCTTTGTTGGTGTGAATCTTAGTTGTAGTTACTCTTGTGAACATTGTCATAGCAATTTCTGTTATAGCCCTGATTTCCATATTTGTGGAAACCGCTTCCACCAATGTAGTTCACATCTTCTTCATCACTTCCAGCTTCTATGGCTTCAACTTCTTCTGTAAAACTGCCTTACTTCCTGAGGAGCTTCTAAACACTTTCCAACTCTACTTTAGCTTCATCAATTGGTTCTTTACTCAGTGTTGGGGCCGATTTTTTCCTCCCAAAATCAGTGTTCTTGGTGCTATTGTTAGATGCCAGATTTTCAATCAATCTTGTAGCCTCTTTTGGACTCCTAGTGCTGAAGTTTCCTTCACTAGTTGTGTCTAGAGTCATCTGGTACTGTAGGCCGATACCTCTGAAGAAAGGTCTAAGCGGGTGCACTTCATTAAATTTGTGGCGTGGACAATCGCGCTGGTAGGATTTGAATTTGATCCAGGAGCTCTTACAAGACTATGCAGGCTCTTCAGTAAAGATTCTGCTGCTTAAATCCTCAGCTTGTGCGTCATCAAAGAAATTGCGTAGGAAGACATTCTTGATGTCAGTCCAGGATGTCAGAGATCCTAGTAGTAATTGTTTAAACCAATAAGAAACTTCTTCAGCAAGTGAATATTTGAAGAGCTTGCAAAACAGATAGTCCTCAGCGACTCCATTGGCTTTAATGGCATATATTAGATACTCAAACCACTCCACGTGATCCATCCATAGGATGCCCATGTCACAACCCATGGTAAGGTATTTGTGCTGCAAGTGCGAAGAAGGAAGGTTTTATCTCGAAACCATGCCTCTGAAAAGCTGGAGAGAAAATGGCAGATCTGTTAGCGTCATACTGGTCTGGATGTTTGTAGTGTCCCAGTGTTTTTGCTTGAGCATCTTGGGAATTAGCTTCAGGTTGAGCTCTTGCAACGTCTGCTTCTACTTCTGGTTCAGAGATTACGTCCCCCTAACCATTGATTCTATGACAAGCTGCATTCCGCAGATAACCTTTGAGATCACACAGGTTATCATTCTCGTCCCTAATCAAAATAATCGTTGCAACCATCTAAACTCGCGTGTCACTGTTGATCGATGGTTGAGCTTCTTGCTCGCATCACCCAGCTGTGACACAATTCGTACAACTTGATATCTTCATTTTATTCTCTGTCTATGTCCTTTGGTCCATTCCTTAACGAAGACTAAGCTTTCCCATGAACTATTCTGATCATTCAATTCATCACAGCTTGTTCACGATCAATTCCCATGATCTGAACCAAAGCAGTCTTGTTTCTCTCGAACGTCTAGGCTGTATGTCAAGTTCCAGGAATGGGAACATGACAGTTCAGCTGGTGTGAGCTGACTAGTGAGTGTGTAGCTACACCGAGCTGGACTGAGCTTATCCGACAGATCTGTTAGCGTCATAAGTAGCCAAATCAATTTTCTTAAACCTTTCCACATGTACCATAAACCATGATTTTACAATTCACCTCCTCTCAAAGAATACAACGTCCTCATTACGCCCAAAGATTGTTACCCATATTACTGTGAGCCCTCACTGGATCCACACTCATCTGGGTCTTGCTTTGATACCAATTGTAACGCCCTAACCATCCATGGCTAATGGACCATGCACGCCCGCTCACTCAGCTCGTGCATCCCATCCTGTCTGAAGAGCGGTGCGATAATTTTCCAGAGGCTCGAAGTCCTTGTTTATTGCCTATGCAATCATCACATAACATTTCTCCGTACTTTGGTATCGTTCACACGATATCGCGAATTATTTCTCGATAGGTCATCCATCATTTGAATACTCCAACTTAAGCATGCTTAACTCTAGAGTTCTCTCTGGATATGAGCCAGAAAAAGTAACGTGCTTTAGTAACATAGGTAGCCAAATAAATTCAATTAATTTTTTCCACATAAACCACAAACCGGGATGTTACATTGATCGATATGGATGCCTCTTTAGCTGCTATTAACTTTAATTGGTTCAATTTTTCCCTTGTTTCTATGCCTGCCAAACTCAGTCTAACTATTTGATATTATACCAATTTCTTAATTTGTTTGGTTTTATTGGTTTTAGATGGACACATTGATGTTTTCTTGCTTTTGGCATCAAAACTGGGTCGAACAAACACTACACCCAACCAGAGAAAGCCACATATAGAATATAATATTTAGTAGAAATATCTGGTCTTCACAACATAAGAACCTCATTAATACCATTCTATTTGTTTCTCAACTTTTATGGATTTCAGAAAAAATATTAAATAAGCAATTAACTGTACTTTTTATCAAGGTATTTACAAAATATTTATCAGATCCAACATTTTTAAGATGATTTTTTTTTCAATAATTTTGTTTTCATGTTTGCTTCTAGAAAGATAAGTTTTATTGGTAAAAACTTAAACAAACTGTTAGCCAGTAATTATGTAATACAATTCTGAAAGAAATTATTTGAATAACGTAATATGGGTGTTTTTATTATTATTTACGTTTTGCATTCTAATAATATTTAAACTTATTTTTATAATTTATGTTTATAATTTTTATTTTTATAATTTACGTTGTTACCCCAAATCGCTTGATTGTGATGGACAACTATGATTGGGATTAGAAGCTCTGTGCCACATGGGAGTTTTTATCCTCCTAGCTCAACATTCGATTTTGTGCGTCTGATTTGGAATTTATGTTTATAATTTTAAATCAGAAATAAATATTGAAATAAAAAGATAATTCCTATATATATTGTATGTTTACTCGAAAATATCTTTTAATAAGACTACATACAATGGTCTATTGAAACTTTTAATTCAATAGTTGAAAAGCTCCAATGGAGTATTGAAAAAAAAATGAAACTTACGTGTATTAATTTGAGTTGAATCAGTTCAACATTGTTGAATCGCTGAAGGAAGAAGTAAATGAGACCCTCCAAAGCCATGTGTCCTTGTTACATTGGTCACTGATATTTCTGATTTGTTTTTTTCTCTCAATTATTCAAAATCAATTATATCTTAAACTTTTATTTAAAAAAAAAAATATTTTTACATCAAAATTTTTCATTTTCCATCCTCTATAAATAGAGACTTGTTTCATTCGATTTGGACACAAAAAAAAAATCATCTCTTTCTACTATAACTTTTCTATTAGTCTACAAAAAATTCTTGTTTTCTTTTTTTTTCATGTGAAATGAATCCCAATAATAATCCCAACACCCAAAATTTTAATAATTTTCCCTTTAACTATCCAAATCCCAATAACTATCAGTTTCCGAATCAAACTTCTAGTCATCCTCAACATTTACCTAATTATGGTTATCAACCAAATTTTTTCATGCCATCAGCTGTTCCAAACTATCCTCCAAATTATGGATCGATGATGCCACACCCATCTCAAACACCCTTTTATTCTTCTAATCCATATGGTAATGAAGTTGTTCCAAATGTTGGAGCAACTGAATTTCCTGAATTTTCTACACAAATGGCTCTAGGTGGTATGAGCGATCCTAATGAGGCGACTCCAAATGTAGAGGATTCAACTTATACTCGCCGGAAAAGCCCCAAGTGGACCACTGCACAAAATTTGGTGTTACTGAGCGGGTGGATTAAATTCGGAACAGATAGCGTTGTTGGCCGAAACCAGAAAGGGGACGCATATTGGGGTAAAATTGCTGAGTATTGTAATGAACATTGCTCATTTGATCCTCCACGTGATTTGATATCCTGCAGAAATCATTTCAACTACGTAAACAAAATACTGGGGAAATGGATCGGTGCTTATGATAACGCTAAGCGTTTACAACAAAGCGGGTGGTCGGAGAACGATGTGTTGGCGAAAGCACATGTGCTATATTCAGGTGAAAAGAATGTGCATTTTAATTTAATGTCTGAATGGCTCGCTGTCCGTGATCAACCACGTTATAGTAGTTAGGTAGGAGGAAATACTGGCTATGGAAGCAGTGGTTCTAAGAGAGCTCACGAAAGTGATGCTAGTGATTCCAACTCTGTAGGATCCAGTGCTCGTACAATGGGGAGAGATGCAGCTAAGAAAAAAAGCTAAAAAGAAAGGTAAGGGTGCAGCTTTGGAAGTGGTCAATGAAGATTTTATTGAATTCAAACAAATCAAGGCGCATGAGTTAGAACGGTTGGAAAAAATAGCTATGTTGCAACAGGAGTCAAACCAAAGGCAAAAAGAGGCAACACAAAAGCAAGAAGAAGCAAACAAGTTAAGAAAGTTTAAAAAAAAAAATCAAAAACCGAAAAGTTATACTAAATACTAGTCAAGTAAAATTCTTAATTTTCTATAATTGAAAATGAAGAGAGAGTATTGATTAACTTTAAAGATTTATTTATAAATTCTTATCTAATAAAGTTGGCTTTTTTTTTCTCCATAGGGGGAAAAATGCCATGTGTCACATTCTTTAATGATGTTTTAATATTTATTATATTTAATAATTATTTATGTCAAGGATATTTTTATCTTTAATTTAAGTATATCTATATTTAAATATATAAATTTTAAAAAGTTTTAGATCTTTCTGTTTTAGCTGAAAATATATTAAAATGGTAAAAAAGATTTTAGTTTACTTAATGAGCCAATAAATGCTAATAAAAGTTTATACATTAAATAAAGTTGGCTTTTTTCTCCATAGAAGAAAAAAATGCCACGTGTCACATTCTTTAATGATGTTTTCATGTTTATTATATTTAATAACTATTTATTTCAAGTATATTTTTATTTTTAGTTTAAGTATATCTATATTTAAATCTATAAATTTTAAAAAGTTTTAGTCCTTTCTGTTTTAGAAAATATATTAAAATGGTAAAAAATATTTTAGTTTACTAAATGAGCCAATAAATGCTAATAAAAATTTCTACATTAAAATAAAATTGGCTTTTTTCTCCATAGAGGGAAAAATGCCATGTGTCACATTCTTTAATGATGTTTTAATGTTTATTATATTTAATAACTATTTATTTCAAGTATATTTTTATCTTTAGTTTAAGTATATCTATATTTAAATCAATAAATTTTAAAAAGTTTTAAATCTTTCTATTTTAGCTGAAAATATATTAAAATGGTAAACAAAATTTTAGTTTACGTAATGAGCCAATAAATGCTAATAAAAGTTTATACATTCATTAAAACAAATTTTTATTTCACTAGTGTTTTTTAGTTCTGTATTTTAAAGAAAAATTACAAATAATTATAATATATATATATATTTAATTATAAACATAGGATATATAAGTTAATGTGAATTTGTTTTACAATGTACTTATATTTAGTTTATTTTTTTATAAATTCTATATATACATATATATTGTAATGGTGATATATGATTTATTACTTATAAAATATTTCAAAATTTCTGCCAAAATAATAAATATTTATATAGAAATTTTATTTTTAGTGATATTATAAGATTTATTAGATAATAATATATTTTAAAAAATTTTCAAAAATTCAAAAGTTATCTAAACTATTTTACATGTCATAATTAAGTTGATTTCATATCATTTTTTTAAGTTATGTCCTCATTTTCTGGTGAAAATGAATTGTGTACTGACATTGTCAAATCACTTCTCAAATAATAACTAGATGATAAGCTCACGTAAAGCGAATTATTAACTTTATTAGGTCCAAAGTATAATACCCAATTGTATCGGAAATTGATTATGTTTGTTACCGGTACCTTTTCATTACCTCTCTTCAACCGTTTAGGCCAAGCCGTCGTTAAACTCAGACATGTCCCCTATTTTTCCCACTGTGTACTATCAAAGCTGCCAGCTTCAGAGTAGCAACAATAAGAAAGCTATCGTCAAGTTCTTTTACATTTTTATATAGTTTTTTACACGAAGTTGTTCCTAACATATGTGAGAAGAAATTGATTATGTTTGAGAAGTCTGAAATCTAGAAAAAAAAAAGAACTTGGAAGCTAATTGATCTTGACCGACGACAAGATAAAATATAATTTTCAGAATCCCATTATCTTAGGTTTCTCCATTATTTTACCAATCTTACGAACGTTAAAATAGTTGACAATTGCTATTACAAGAATTAGCAAATATGAAAAGTTGATCATGGATTTAAAATTGAGCTCATTTCACAAGTTAAGAAAGAAGGTATTAACATTTATTGAGTTTAATGATGAAGTGTTAATGTTGTTTGATGGACTTTTAGGATTGACTTTGAAGAAGAAAGATTGGCAGAAGAAATAAATTCTTCAGCTATTTCTGCAGATTTATGAAAGTATAGTTTGTCATATGCATTTCCACGTCATCTATCATGTTGGTATTCTCTGAGTTTTTACATACTTATAAATACGAAATATGATCGACCACTAATCTAAAATATTACACAAAAAATTATTAAATACAACAACAAATGTGACAAAAAAACACGTTACTAGATTAAAAAAACAGTTACATAGAAATCAATAGGAACATAGTAAACCAATAAAAAACTACGGTGTAATACACATTCACATGAGACATAATATCCAGCTTCAAATGGACACTTAACCCAAATAAAAAAATCTGTTTCCATACCCTATCACTTCTTCATCAGTCATCTCAAATCGCCTACCATTTAAGCTCCAAAATCCATATGCAATTAATTGCTACATTAATGAGAATTACCACTAACCATTAATACAAAAACCATAACCAGAACAAACAAAAGAAAATGTAGAAGTTATAAATGGTTACCATTTTCACCACATGTTATTTGTCTTTTTCACTACACACTTATATCCAACCAAGACAATCATACGACTGTAAAACTATAGAAGTATACCTAAAATAAAATCTATAATTAATTCATCATAGTAAATTTACATTTCAAAAATCAACAACAAGCAAATAAAGATCAATTAACGTTGGAAATTTAAAAACAGAAACTTTTACTTTCTACTAGATATTTCTGAAGATATAGTATAATAATATATAATGCAACCTCCCATAATGCATACATGATATATCCTAATGAATAACGAAAATAAAGAATATTTGATAACTACAAAAGACATTAGAAATTCGTATCGACCACCAAAATGTAACAACTCCCAACAATATCATAAGAATCATCTAAAAGAAGAAACATACATGATGTAAGAACTTATTCATAGATACTGATAGTTTCAATATTATAAATAATTTCACATTCATTAAAGAATAAAATATATGAACCTTGCGCTTAGCGCCGGAATACCACTATTATTGAATATAGTGTACAAATAATTTTCCAAACAATTTATAATACTAAAGAATTTTGAAATAAAAACATGCATATAAAATTAAGAATTCGTTAGTGCTCTTAGTCCTAGATAGCAAAAATCAAAAGCATAATTCAAAACCAGAAGGTTGATAAAAAAATTGAAAAAATTTAAAAGAAATGGTTTCTGAAGTTAAAACTATATATTTATGAAGGTTAAAAATAACGACAAACGAGAATGTCAGTATTAAAAGCTTCAGAACATCTTTTCTACCAAGCTTGAAACTCCATATTGAGCTTTATAGACTGTAGATCTCTTAGCGTTCCTCGGAATTGTTTAATTTCCGAAAAGTGATCGGTGCACCATGCTGAGGATAGAGTAACATGAGGACGGTAGGTGCGTGTTGGTAACTAGGAGCCAAGTGAAACGTGAAACGTTGGATCATTACAGCAAGGGTCAATTTGGCTTGAAGAATGGCAAGATTCTGACCAATGCATGTTCGGGCTCCGAGACCAAATGGTATGAACCCAACAGGGTGTTTTGCTGCACGGGGCACTCCGTTTGCAAATCGATCTGGATTGAATTCGTTTACGTCGTTACCCCAAATTGCTTGATCGTGATGGACAGCTATGATTGGGATTAGAAGCTCTGTGCCACATGGGATTTTGTATCCTCCTAGCTCAACATCCGATTTCGCGCGTCTGATTGTCGCTACAATTGGTGGATACAGCCTTAGAGACTCGTTCAGAATCATGCCCAACTGCAAATTTTTAAAAGAGATTTTAAAAAACACATTCACATTGTATCTTCTTTATATTTGACATTTTTGCAAGTGTTCCAAAAAATAATAATAATTTAACATATTTTTCTTTGGTCGAGATCAAACGAGTGTGGTTATCTTCTTTTTATGAATGAAAGAGTGTGATTATCTTCAATCTAAGAAAAAACTATTTTACCATTTCAAACAAACATACATAAAACAAAAAGTAAGGTTTTATGAAAGTTATAGTTTTATGTTTTGATATCTAATTTTTAATAAACAAAAGTTCAGTTGTTTTTGTCATGAACATTATTATTGCATCTATATATTCTTCTTCTTTTTGTTATTTGAGTTAATATTTATACTTTGGCAAAACGAGATTGAAGTATTTAAAGAAAAAAATAAAGTGACATATCAATTTGGACTAAACGTTGTACATTTGGAATAGGAGATAAACTATAATTTGAATAATAAACTAAAGGTTGTGTAATACCATCTGGAGATTAAAAAAAAAAAACAATTTTCCTTGACATGTAGAGAGTAGGCGACAGAAAGTCCATGATTAACGGTAGCGGAAATTGCCATTACTAATTCTCTTTCTATCGGTGATTGGTTTATTACTTTGTGAAACTTATAGGGATTTTTATTTTAAAAAATTGAGATTAATATTATAGAAATTGAAATAATACAAAGCAAAAGACAAAAGAAGAAAACTCACCGTTTTGAGCTTAACGACATGGTCTTTAGTGGGGGCATCACGTGAGCCGCAGACCCTGAGGACCTCATCACGTGCTTTGGCCTGCCACTCCGGGTGCATGGCTAGCAAGATGGTCGTCCACGTCAGCAGATTGGATGTTGTCTGTTTTCCGGCAAAAAAGAAGCTTTTACACTCCTCCACAATATCCTGCACCGTCACATTTTTAGCCTGAATCATTAAACCCAACAAATCCTTCGCTGCTGCTGCTGGCTCCAGCCCCTTATTTTCTTCGCTCTGTCTCCGCCACTCTATTAGCCCCAATAAAGACTTCCTTATCTCCTTGTCTAACTTCCAAGATTCCAAATTCCCTTTCGTCGGAAAGAAACTGACGAAATAATAAATTAGTATATTATTCTTCTCAGTTATAACTATTCGTCTACGGAATATCCAAATTACTTTACCTGTAACCAGGAATAAAGACTTTCTGGAAAGCTTCGGCGCAAAGAATCATTTGTTTAGCTTGTAGTTTAAAAATCGCTCGGCCATCTTCATAGCTACTTCCAAAAGCTGTTCTGCTTATAACATCTTCGGTCAAATTTTGATACCACTCATACACGTCAATCTCAACTTCGCCAGATTCTAATAAGTTCTCCGACCATTTTTCCACCATCTCCGTCACACTTTTCAACACCACCGGTACAAGCAACTGCCAACACACAAAAAAAAAAGAGATGAGAAAAAAAGAAACAGAAAAACAAATTAAAATGGTATTGTTCAATTACTTTGAGATTCTCCATATGAAATGTGGGGCTAATGATTTTGCGATGATGAGCCCATTTTTCTCCTTTGAGGCTAAGAAGTCCATCACCTTCAAGCTGTTTAACCAAAGGGTGGGCTTCGTTCTTCTCATAGAACTCAGATTTTGAAAATATTTCTCGGATCAGATCTGGATCCGCCACCGTTAACCGGGAAGTTGGTCCGAACCATACCAAAAACGTAGCACCTGAAAACATCATTTACCCCCACCCCCCTAATCAATTAGACAAAACATGACAAAAGAAGCTGTAAACATGAACAGATCCTGAAGTGGGAAACTTGACAAAACAGGGTATTGCGTTAATGCCAAGTGCTCTTCCAAATTTTACTAAATTGCTGCAAATTTAATTCATTGCACAGAAACCGAAATTTCAGTTTTTTTTTTCTTTTTCTGATCACTAAAGAAAGAAGACAAGAGTTAACAGAGGGGAAAATGATGACTAAGCCTGTGAGGAAAGAGTGGGGAAGAACAGAACCTCTTTTTTTCACATCAAAGTACTGACATCATTATTTGATCATGACAAAACAAAATACATAAAAATAAAAAGTTTTATTTATTTACTTAAGTAATAAAACAAAATCTTTTGTATTGCTTGACTTGAAAACTCACTGCATATCATTTCAACTTACAGATGAAAGAATCCAAAATCCCAGAAAAGGAAGAAAAATCAAGAAAGAAATTCACCAAATAAAAGAAAAAGAGACGAAACGAGTCTTGTACTGAAAAAAAAGTCTTAGTCAATTTCATAATTTAGAAACATAGTAAAAAAGAACTCTGAATCTGAAAAAAGAAGAAGAACGAACCATAGATTTTCCTCCAGTGATGGTAGAAAGAGAGAACTCTTGGAAGGATATTGTGAGAGAAAGGCATGGGATGAGAAGAAGCTTTAAGCATCATGCCAACAAGTTCTTTAACATTACCGATGAAGAAATGATAAGGGGGACCTCGAATTCCCTGTTTTGAGAAATGTTCTTCGATCTTTCTGGGTCTCCACCAAAGCAGAGACATGGCTTTCACAATTACAAGACTAAGCATTACAGAAAAAAGAAGAACCTTTGAAAGCAACCAGTTGCTACTTTCGTCCTCCATTGTCGGAAATAAAAATAAATGGAGAAAGAAAGAAAGAAGAAAATAAAAGAGAAAACACACAAAAAGAAGAGCTTAAAGTTTGAGTCTTTGGTCTCGTTTTTCGTTATACAGAGTGCCGGAGAAAGAGGGAATAAGGTGTTAAAAAGGCGATTTTTTGCTCTCCTCTAAATCTTTGATTTCGTATTTATTTTCTTTTTGCTTTTTGTTTCTTTGCGAGTTTGGTTTCTTCTTATCTTGTTTCTTTTTGGACTACTTTGCTTGCTGGGCTATTTGAGCTTTTGAGAGAGAGAGAGAAAGAGGCAATGCCAACGGCGTAGGGGCCGCCATTGGAGGACATGGAAGGGTCAACGAATGGAGGTTTTTGTATATTTTTTTAACAATGAAAATTTGTTTCTTCTTTCATATGATTGTTATACAAGTCTTATTAATTTTCAATGAAAACCTTTAGTAAAAAAAAAAAGGTCTTTTAATTTATTTGATAAAAATTGTCTTTAGCGGTTTATTTATTTATTTCCGCTCGAATTCCACATCATTTTCTTGTAATATTGTAATGATTTATAGTTTTTGTCGTTTACTCCGATGTTGTTGCAACTGCTGATATTAAATGTCTACGACCATGATGTATATCTTGAGTTTATTTTCTTACAACGTAACGTATATCATATAGAGATATTTGCAAATAGATTCTCTTAAAATAATCATATAACATATGAAACATAAAAGTAACGGTTTTATTAGTACATAATCTTTAGGTTTCTCTCACAAAAAAATCTATACAATTATTTACGAATTGATTTTTTAAAAGAAATCTCACATTAAAGCTAAGACAGTTAATATCAATATATCTTAATGAATACAATATATTATTATATAACTAAACTAAAATCAAATTTGATATTAATATTATTAAAATTATATGTTATATTTGATAATTGTTACAAAATAAATAAAAAAAAATTATCAAAAACATATATATTCTTAAAACAATTCACACATACTCGGTTGTCATCCGAAAAATGATTTTTTCGCAACAGAATTCTCGTGTTAAAAGTTAAGCGGTTAGCAACAATATTACCCTAATGAATAACTATATATAATTTATTATATAATTAAATTAGATACGAATTTGATATTAATATTATTAAATTTATATGTTATATTGGATAATTATTATAAATTAAGAAACTTTTTATCAAAAAACGTATATATTCTTTTAAAAGAAGATCGATCATTCCTATATATACTTGGTTATTATCCGAAAATAATTTTTTAACATAACAATTTCAAATTAAGAAATACGAAGATATATAAAAAATAACCGAGTACAAAAAATAAAGATTTTAAATTTTAATGATGTTAATACCGAAGTGATTTTCACCTTTGAACTCTCATGTTAAAAGTTAAAATAATTTTTTTAAATTCATAATCTTATTTGCGAAATAATTTTCATATTTGAACTCTCATATTAAAAGATAGAGTGTTTTATTAGATAATTTTTTAGAGTTAATATATAAACTGGCGAAAAACAAAAATATATTTTAAAATAAATAAAAAATATAATTTCTGGTTAATATCATTAATACCAATAATTGATTATAAATAATAAAAATTATTAGAAATTTACTAGATAATTATTTACAATATATATATATATATATATATATATATATATATATTGGATAAAATAATTTACTAGCTGTTTACTAGATATATATTATGTTGTTATCCTAAAAGATAAACTTTACTCCTAGAAAATTAAAATTAAGAAATAAAAATATGTATAAAAACTACTTAAGTAAAAATAGAAAATTTTGTAATATATTAAATAATAATAAATATTTATAATATCGATATGTCTACATGTGCGGGGAAAACAACTAGTATATTAGTATATAAGAAACTGAAAGTCACAAATGTAACGCACGTACAAAAGTAATTTGACTTCGCGTTACTGCCATTTGTTTTCTTCGGTACTTTTTTTTTTCTTTTATAATTTCTTCTGTAAATTTTAGTTTTAACGTTTGGCTGGTTGCCTAAATATTAAATCTATATTATAATGGGGTACTTTGCTCAGTGTTAGCGCACCACATCAGCATATTTATGGGTCTCAGTACAAGAAAAATAAAAATGAATTGATTAAGAATCGAATCCAGATTGTTTACTTTTCAAACAAAGTCTTTATGACCAGATTACTATGGATAATTGACATATTTTAGCAATAATATACTATAATACTTAAGTAATTTTATAAATAAAATAAAGTATTTAATTCCTAGGTATCTTCGATTAATCATTAATTCGCTAGATTTTCATATTCGTAGAGTGAGTGTTTCTATTTTCATTAATCAGTTTTTCTTTATCTATCTTTAAATCTCCTATTTTTATTATGTTGGTTAACAATAGACCACATTCATAATTCATCATGTATTCCGGTTAAAATATACTTTATCTAAACAGAAGAATCCTTCATATTTGATTCTCCCCTTGATTCTTCTTCTAAACGAATTTTATTACATATTCTCGGAAATGACTTCATCTTCAGCTTTAGATGTTGATGGATTGATTGGTAGTATTATCATAAGAATTATACTCTTATCATCCAATCAACATTTATGAGAAAAGCATTTAGAAATTCATTTACAATATGCTAATGTTTTCCAAATGCTGTTTTCTTAAATGTTTCATATGAAGCTTTTGGAAGATCATTTGTTCTTAGAAAATATAAAAATTAAAAATAATTATACATAATTATTTGCCAAAAAAAGGTAATTAAATATTTTTAATTTAAAAATAGTAATTCACATTTTAAATATTATATAATTTATATAATTATACATATCAATCATTATTTTTAATAACAAACCTAACTTTAATATAATTATATATTATAGATATAAATATATTTATATTATTTCAAAAATAAATAGATTAGCCATTAATTCTTTACCAATAATAAAATAATAAATTATTATTATTTATGTAATAATATTAAAATTATGTTTGTATGCAAAAATAAATTTATATTTTTAAAATAAATTATATATATATTTTTAAAATATTAATATTTCACATTTAAAATATAAAACCATTTATTTAATTGAATAAGATTATTATTTTTATTAAAAACGTTATTACTATATATTATAAATATATATTTATTTAAAATAAATATATTATATACTAAGTTATATGATAATTATAAAGTTATATACTGCTACTGTTCTATCAATCATTTTATTAAAAAAATTTAGTAAGAGCATACATCTTCTACAGTATAGTGTTTCTACAACATACTGCTACTATTTTATTATCAGGTGTACTCATTTACTCCGTTAAGTAATAATGAACCATGTTCATAATACCTCCTGCATTACGCTTAATATGTATTATATCTAAACAGAGAAACCATTCATCTCTGTTTCTCTCATTAATTCTTTTTCCAGTAAAATATTATCACATCTTCTCAAAAATAACTTCAGATTTTGCTTCGGTTGCCAAAGTCGTTGCATGCGTCTCAACTTTTGATTCTCGTTACTTTGGTCGAATTGCTCAGTTTATGGTTGTTTGTCGCCTCTGTTTATGGGATTCTCAGAATAGAAAAATGGCAAATTTATGATAATTATAGAAGATTGCGAAGAACGTTTGACATTTAACAAGATTGCATAATATTTGCGGATATTAGAACCTTTGAAAACTTTATTGACTAATACAAAAAGACTTCACACGCTATATCGGTCCAGCTTATATGTCAAACATCAAAAGTTATAATAAAATTATAGAATACATCAATTATATCTCCGAAACCGCGTTTGCGCGGGGACTCAGTTTCAAGACTCCTCTAGGATCCGGGTGTTATTCCATCCGGTGAACCACGTTATCAATATGTTTTGATTTGGTATAATTATGTGTGGACTGGTGTGATTTTGTAATTTATATTTAGAAACCCATTCTAAAGCACTTAGCCAAAGATAACAAAACTCTGTGTTTAGGCTTAGGTCATGACTCATGAGGCATCTCTTCTGTTATTGAACTCTTCCGTCAACTATTGAACTTCAGTGTGTCATCAACTGTTTGAGAAAAACCAGACATTCTCCTTCATCTCTTACCTCCCTGTATCTTCATCTACATCTCTTGCTTACCCTATTTCAACGTTTTGATTTCACATGTTTAATGAATCTGTTTTTAAACCTATTCACTCCCACGACTCTCCATCTCCTTTTATTACGATCCAAACTTTATTCGTTTTAAAATTAGAAGAACAATTCAAACTCTATAAATAAAAAAAGGTTTGTGAGTTCAATCCACATACACCGACATCTTCTGTTCTTCCATCTATTTGCCAAAAGTTAGACGCCTCCTTCGAGAATGTCTTCCTATGTGTTATTAGACCTGTCATTTACATTCTCATACAAGTGACAAACGAAGGCGAAGAATCAGCTGTATCTGCCAACAACAATGTTGCACCAAGAGATGATGAACCAAATCATGTCGCTTTTGAAGCATAAGAGAATAGCCGCTAATGCACCCATGAATGATAGTTTCAATTTGTCTCTTCTGTATTTTCAGAGTTGTTATGATTTTGAATCCATTATATTTATGATTTTTAAATTTGGTTTTTCTCTTTAGTTCCGGCAAACTCCCTCCTATAAAAAGGACAATTACTAAGTTTTTATTTTAAAAAGGCAGTGTTGACTGCATTTTTCATATTGATAATGTCCACAACTAAATGCATCAATCACTATACGTTACATGGTGACATGCATTCCTAAAAAAACATAACTCATGTAAACATTGCATAAATGTCCACTCTGTAGCGATGCACTCAGACCGAGAACATAAAGCTCTTGATTTTGTTTCCTTTCTCTTTGAAAAAGAACTTTTGATGTTTAGATGAAAACAAATGCAATCAAATTAAATAATCATAGACTACAAGTTAAAATATCATAATATACACATTATACCCAAGTCCAATAAAACAAATAAAACATAATACATAAAACAACAATCTCTATATCAACAAACATTCATTTACAAAACCTGATCACAAATTTTTATGAATTCGTAAATAATCTAATCCACTTCACAGTTTCAAAAAAGAAATTTCCCAACACATAAATCACTACGTCATGGATAAAAACAACATAACACCAACGGTAAAAACCCCGCAAATGCGAGAGGGACGATCTCTAGTACTTATAGTGTCAAACTCACACTAAAAACATCTCCAATTTTTGTTTTTTTGTTTTTTATCTTTAACCTGATCTCAAAACACCATTTTAGTATAATTTTCACACTAAACTTC